ACATGTATATATCTGTAAATTCCCCTCACCCCTGCAGGCGGTCTGTCTGTCAAGCTCAGGTCCTCTACTAGAGGCCTGGGAGCTTGAGGGTCCTGCGCAGTATCTTAGCTGTTCCTAGGACTGCACTCCTCTGACAGAGATCTCAGATGTTGTTCCTGGGATCTGCTGGAGTCACTCGCCTAGCTTGGGAGATTTTTGAAAGGGAGCTTTAATTGTTTGTGACTTTAGCTTTATAAAAGTAGCCTTACTGTACTCCCTGTACTCTCAACTTATTTTATATTTGACTTTCAGAAACATACAGATTTATGGGGTACTTTGCAGGATATATCAAGCTAACACTTTCTGACTGGAGGATATATTTCTAACATTTCCTCCACCCAATCATCTGGTTTATCGCCTCTCAAAAATGTAAAACTAAGAGATGAAAGATATCGTCACAACAAATCACTGTTCATGTTTTTACGACTTTACATTACATCAAAATGCAGTCTGCTGAAAAAGACTAGAGGTTAAATTTTTTTTGACTTTGTTGTGGCAGACAATGTTCAGAACTTAAAAAAAAGAAAATCAAAAAAGAACTGGAGAAAAAAGAGAGGAACACAGTTTGATGCAACACGACAGACAAATTGAGACTATAAAGTCACATGACGTAATGAAGGAATTAGAAACAGGAGGGAAACTAAACACAGTTGAACACAACAAAGGCGAACAACAGTCAGGAAATAAAACTAAACACAATGCATGGGAGACCAATAAAAAAAGGAACTAAACAAAAACAATGAAGATCAGTGAACTTAACACAGGATAAAGAGATCAAATAAACTCTAATGCAAGTAGAAGCTGGAACTAAGAGCTAAAGACTAAAAATACTAAAGAAAACACTTCAATATAAAGTAGTACGTTCACTCTGTTAAAATAAAGGATAAGCTCAATCATGGTGATGTCATCCTGGGGAAGAATAGGTTGTTTTTTGTTTTTGCATGACTTTTTCAATCTTTGACAGTAGAGTCATTTATCTTTTATATTGTGCTTTTAATTTTTTATAGCTATTAGTGTTATTGCATGCTTTTATTGTGAATTTTGTTTTTAGTTTATGTTCCCCCAGACCCCCCCATTACTAATTTTTCCTCTCCTGGGAGAGGTCATGCCATGGAATGAACCCGCCATTAACCAATCAGGGTGAGCCTTTCAACCACCAAAGACCAATAAGAGGGTCTGGCGGTATGGATGGTCATAGCAGCCATGAAAACAGCAGTAATGGACAGAAAGAATCAACCATGATGATGATGATGATGATGACGATGACGTGGCCATGGAGACACAGGCAGATGTTATTGAGGGAGGTGAAGCAGAGGGACACCTTTGAGTGGAGCATCTGGATGTGCCAGGAGATCGTTTTGGTTTCGGCTAGTGTTGCGAAAAGCTAACGGCTGCTGACAAGTGACGAACAGTGGCAGGCAGAGTTCTGAGCTCTGTACCAACTACTGACTAAATCTCAATTGTCGGGTCAAGTACCGACCCAGCCAGACAATTTTTATATTTTGTTCCTGTATATTAATTTTTATGCCCCCTGGTCATGGCTGTTTTTAATTGTTTTTATTGTAAATAAATAAATTTTTTAGCTTTCTTAAAAAGCACCTCTATTGCTTCTTGGTTAAACACTGCTCTCCACTCAGTCACAAGGGTCTTCCTTCTTATTGGGACTTTTCCTTCTACATGAAATTGAAATCAAGAAAAATACAAAGGAGTTGGTAACATTTTGGTGTCACTTTATCTTTTTAAAAAGACATTTCTATAAATTTGGAGTTTACCTGGGGATTTTTAGTACCGTTCTAGCTTCTGTTTTCATTCTGCCTGTAGTGCTAATTTTATTCACCAGTAACATTTGAAAAGGTTGTGGTTGCATTCAGGGAGACTGTATAGTATGTGTAGTATGATATTTGAAAAAATGCAATCAAAAAACTGTAATTTTCTGACAACATTTTGTGAATTCAGTCAGCTTTGACTGAATTTATTATATTTAACCAATGATTTGCTTCATTTAAAAAAAGTAAATCACTTTACCTTCTACATTTGTATCTTGAACTCCAGTAAGTTTAAGATACAAATGTCTAAACCTTTCACAGAAAACTATAACAAAAAAGGCAATCTTTTAATTATAAATTAGGTCTTAAGTCCTCATAAAACAGAATCTACAAGGAGGGGTTGGGATTCATTCCCATGTAAACTCAGTTAATAGTAGATATATATTTATCTTTATGTAGATGCTGGACCATTTGTGTTATAGGTTGTCTTCTTTTAGGTGTTGTTTTGCTCAACTGAATTAAAACAATGAAGCTGGCCTTGATGTTCATGCACACTGTATTTTACACTTTTATTGTAAACATTCACTTCCTCTTATTTACAGTAAACCAGATAGCTGTGGCAAATACAGCTGCATTAACCAAACAGGAAATGGCACACTGTGTATCAGACAATAACATGGCTGACTGAGGCAACCACAAGTTAAATTAGCCCCTCCTTTTCTTCTTTATTCTTTGTTGGACTAAATGTTCAAACACTGAATTGGTTTTCAAGTTTTGTTTTAATTTATGCACAGATAATATTTTACTCCTGTATACCTGTTTTAATCTTTGAAAAGCACTTTTGTCCAGATTAGTGGGTGTTTGATGATCACTCGGATCTGAATGAAGCTCCTTCCTGTTGTTTTTTCACTGCACGAATGTTATTATCTTCTATGTAGTTCTGCAGACGGCTCCTCATGCTGAAGCTTTGGCATCCTGACATCAGAATTGGTCGAAAGAAAGGCATTTGTCCTGTAAAATTTATTTTTTACTTGAGCTTTGTGAAACGACAGAAAAAAATCTCTTTGTCTTATTGCAGATAATTCCTTTGGTAGACAGATGAGACTTAAGACTCTAAATATTTGTTCTGTTTCTGTAAATTAAACATGGAGTTATTTATACAAAACAACTTTCTGTTAAATTTCAAAGTTTTGTAATTTAAAGGAATGCGATTTGATTTGAACACTTTTAGCTTCATTTCATTTAAAACTATAAAACCAATTACTTTCAGCATCATCAAGGTCACTAAAGAGCCACCCACCCCATTTGTGTCTGTTGAGTTTTTTCTTTTTTAAATAGATGTGGTTTCCATAGATTGACAATTTGATTATACTTTTTCCCACTGCACAAACTACACAATACATTTTGGCATTGAAATATTTCAAACACCAGAGAGAAATTAACAGACTGAAACTGTTTTTCCCAATAAACATATAAAGTGACACCTATGATTTTTCAGGTAATACATTTTGTAAATTCAAGATCAGAAAAACAAGAGACTTCACTGGTTATGTTGCTGTTTTAGCACAATTATATTTTATTTGTCAGATTCCCATTTCTGTAAGGGAGTTTCAAATGTAAATTTAGAAACACTACCTTTTAAAAATAGCATCATTTAAGCCCATGTGTCTCCTTGTAATTGTGTTCTAGGCTAAGGGTCAGCTGAAAGTGTACAGTCACTTCTGATTTGTCAAACTAAAGAAAAAAAATTGTCAAGGACAAAAGCAACATAGCTTGCTAACCTATTAATATCTTAGTAGTACACTTAGGCTCTCCAGCTTAACACAACAAAAAGGAAGAGGCCGCCACCTTGTGGCGCTTTTCTGCAATTATGCTTTAATTCACAAAGGAAGGAGGTGCTGAAAGGGGAGAACCTAATGGGGCTTTTGAAAAATTCTGAGATCTGTTCATTAAAGTTGGAAGTAAGTTAATGTTGCAGAAAGATTTATAAGGAAATCGGTGAAGGAAATGGGTGACTTCTGTTTAGGATCAGCTAATGCCTGATATGACCACAGGTTCCTTTATCACTATGTCCCCCCCCCCCCCCTTTTTTTTTCTTTCCTATGCATGGATATTCTATATGTAGCTTCTTTTGCATCCTCTACTTGACTGTACAGGAGGGAAGTCAGTGATGAGTGGACCTGGAAAGCAGGATGGCAGCTTTCTGCCTTAAAGCAGTGCAGAGATTTTTATATGGTGCTGGTGTGAGCTGGGGGTAACCAGCCTGTGCCCTGTTGAGGATGGCTGGAAGATGGGGCTAGATGTTGAACTGACAAAATCTCAAGAGCTGAATACTGTCGGGACTTCTACAAAAAGTATGGAGTTTTTCCAGGGGGGCCTGGAAGTGGGGCTTTGGGCATGGGAAGAACCCTGTTTTCTCAAATCCAGTTTTCGGTTCATCGTGATTTGTTTCTGTGAGCTGGAAACAGAATTATGAGGACAGGCGTTGGCAAAGCATCTGTCACCTGCCTGAAGGGACAAGGTAGTGAGACACCAAAGGAGTTCAGTAAGCTGACTGGGCTTACAGACTGGGCTTAGAGTAGTCCAGAAGGCTCTGTCGGAGTTGGTGAGGAGCTGTACAGTAGTGTCGCAGGAGGAGGCTGCTGATTTTCTTTAGTTGATTGTTTTGAGCAGCTGCAAGCGGAGGTGAAGTTTCTCTCCATGTGAACTGCATGCCTGGGATAATTTAGTCAGCTGCAGGATAAAGCCTTGTACATGGCCTGTGTGAAGGTGAGTATGGCGGGGTGTGGTTTGTAGCTCAGCTGCTGGGGAGGGGTGGAGCGGCGGGTTGTGGTTTTCAGAGTGTTGTGGAAATGTGTTGAGGGAATGGAGCATGTTTGGAGATAGGCACCGAAAGGAGAAGGATGGGTGTAGTACCTTTCTTTAATATTTATACACAAAACATATTTAGTTTCAAAAGAGTGTGCAGCAGACTGAAGCTTTATTTTTTTCCACAACACATTTACCAGGAAACCAAGGAATTTCACTGGTGACATTGTGGTTTTAGCACATAATAATAAAATCTGGCACAAGATAATAATTCACATTCATTTCATTTTAAACAATCTATATATTTTTTTCTTTAAACATTTCTGAATGGAAGCTTTAAATGTTTGCAGCATTAGCTTTATAAAAACTTTCTCAATGTGTCCTTTACTTCCACTGAACTAACTGAATTTTAGTCACACAGAACCACAGCTGGTTTCTCACAAATACTTCCATGATTTACTTTGCAGGAATTATCAAACCAATACATTGGCCCCATCTTCACACAGTCCTCTCCATTCCAATCATCTGGCTCAAGAAAGGACCAAAATGCCAACCTATGGGATGAAAAACAGAAAGGACATTAATTGTAAAAGCTGAACTTTGATTCTGAGAAAGAACAAAAATATTTTCATAAATTGTTAAATTTTTTTAAACACATATGCCACTACTGCATATCATAAAATGTGTATACTCTTTTCCATCGTTTGTGTTTTGTTATATCCAATATGAATATCCAAATGTCTTTTCCTTACATTATAATTCACATTTAAGGTGACATTTATGAGAAATGTAATATAATCTAATTGTACTGAATCAAACCTTTCATTCAGTGGTGAGCCGTCCACCCACAGCCATCTGCCCTCTTCTGCTGAGTCTGTCAGTCCGATCCAGAAATAGCTCCCATATTCAATTTTTGTCTTCAAGAAACTCTAAAAAGGAAAATTTGATCAAATTAGTTTGTAAAACTTTCAGTCCGGGGATGATGAAACATGAGGGTGAGAACATGAACCTGCAGCAGTGTTTTATACCTGCTCCTCTTTGCTGTCTATCTTAACCAGGTCTCCTCCTTTAGTCCTACATTCAGTTCTGCTCACATCCCAGGATTATTTTCTTGTGGAGAAGTAATAGCACTTTCCTCTGTGTTGCTTCCAGCCATCTTCACATTTATAACATGAATCATCTTTGAAGAGATTACATCAAACACTTGGTTCAGGTGGAAGAAATCCCTGTTCATGCTTGTGTGATTTTGGAGTCTGTCCTACAGTTACATTCTAACGTTTAACGTATGTCTGTTTAATCACAGGATTTAAAACAAACCAAAACAGCAAGAAAAGCAACCACAAAAAAAAAAAAAAAACCATGACAAAGACAAAATATAAAGCTTACTCTTAATTATCTCAGGAGTTTGTGGGGATGTAAGCTGTATTCGTTAGGGTTCTTAGCCCATTGACCCAGTGTTTTGTGTTTACTGTGTTTTGGTGTCTTGTTTATTCATTATGTTCTCTGTCCATTTTATTTTTCCTAGTTCAGTTTGTTTACACTCTTGAGTTTATTCAGTATTTCTTGTTTAGGTTGTCCTGGTTGTTATTTCAGACCGTTTATGTCTTTGTCTCGTCTATGTGTCCTTCCTTCAGCTTTACCCCAGTTAGGTAATTGCTCGTTTCCTGTCTCTGTGTTTCTGTCTGGTTTCTCTCGCCCTCTCTATCCTCCCTCTTTTTTTCAGTCTGCGTCTCAGTGTGTGTGTCGTACTTCCTGTTTTAGTTTGAAAGTCTCTTGTTCTGTGTGTACCATGTTCAGCTGTGCTTTCCTTGTCTCGTCAGTTGATTGTTTTCAGCCGTGTTCCCGGGTGTTTCCTCTCTGCCCTAAATCCCTCTAATGCATTTTTAGTACACCCCTCTGTCTAGCATTGCGTTATCCATCATGCGCCGCTGTGTGTTCTACCTGCTTGTCTAGTGTCAGTTCCTAACAGATTGGTTTCTGTATTGTTTTAGTTCAGCAATAAAGCTGCGTTTGACCTTAGCTTGCCTCCCCGAGTCTGCATTTTGTGTCTTCCATTCCTGCCTGTCTCACACAGCTTATGACAGAATGATGCTGTAAGATTGTGTTACTGTTATGGAAAAGAGACGTTTTTCTTCATTTTTGCAAAATTTTCAGCGTGACCATCTACTTTTGATTTGACAGCAGCAGGATGCTCCTTTGATCCTGTTTCCTTAATCAGAGAATAAAAAACACGTCAAAGACAAAATATAAAACTTACTCATGTTTATTTCAGGAAGTTGTGGGCTTGTAGTTTGTATTGGGCTGCACGGTTGTGTTACTGTTATAAAAAAAGAGATTAAAAAAATGTTTTTCATAGATTTTTTCAGGCAGGAGGATGGTCCTTGCGTCATGCAGCTGTATATTTGTTTACGCAATTGTTTTCTGCAGATACAAATGTGTTCAAAATTCATAACGTACTAATTTTTACTTCAGGCTCCGGGCATGTGGGCTGCACTGTACTACATGGTTTGATTTCAGGAGGTCTCTCTAAAAAACAAAAAAAAAATAAAAAAAATAATTAAAAACAATAATTATTCATCAGGATCAGTTATGAGAATCACCATAACTTAAATATTAAAATGTTGGGGGGAAAAAAGCTAAGCAACATTTAATAATATAAATAATACTGTGTGTTATGTGATTAAATTCCAGAGGTCACAAACAAAAGTTTAGTACAAAATTACAGTGTAGTCTCATGTTCTTACCTGTGACATCAGCTTTTACAGTTTCCTGCTTCATCTCAAGGTTTCTGAGCATGTCCCTGGTTTTCAAAAGCTCCAACACTTATTAAAGCAATAAAGATAAAATAAGAAAAAATCTATCAGTAATATATTTGGTTTCACTTTATATCTGTATCTGAATTAGATTTTCCAGAGTCTAAAGCCAATGAGAAGATTTTTGTTACCAGAACCTCTTGTTTCAGTACACCTGTAGTCTTGATTTTTTTCACATTTGAGCATGCTTTGGTGGGATGCAGGTAAAGAATATGTGCATATAACCAGAGAGCAAAGTAACTTCTTTAATCATAGAATCATTGGCTATTGACCTGAATGCGTAATGCTACCAATTCTAAAGTTTTTATAATAAAACTGTATAGGTAAATGAAGCTTTTAAATATTAGATTTTTTAATTGAATATAATTTGTATATATGCTAATATTAAAATTTAATAAAGTTAATGTTAAAAATACGACGCAAGGCAGGCATTCTTCTTCCACTGACGGCTACGGGTGTGTTGCGTGAGATTCATGAAGAAGAATGTCTGATTTTTAACTTAGCTTACAAATAAAATAACATAATAAATAACAATAAAATAATATTAATTACGGCAAAAATCATGTGCTAAAAACACATTCATAAGTGGTTGTGCTATCCATCCAATTAATGAATTTGGTAACAGCTTTTATTAACCTTAATAAATAAAATTTTTGATTTGATGCTGATTGTCATAGCAAAGCAGGTGATAGTATAGCTCACTGGCCTTTGTTAACAGCTGATTTTCTGTTACTAATTATTTCTCTTTTAAATAAAATGCTGGACAAATTTGTCCTGAAGCCTGGATTTTAAAATGAAAGGATTTCATATGATGCAGATGAATTAAAAAGTCATAAGTTAAGTTGTTCCTTCACAATTTTATAATAAACATTTTGATTGCTAATTAATTTACGGTAGATCAGACACGTATTTAATTAAAGCTACATGAATAAAACTACAAACTCACAGAGATAAATTACCACGAGAGCCAATACCAGGAGAACACAGACAACCAGCACGGCCACTCTGAGCTTTAACACATTGTTTGATTTTGCATGTTGAGAATCAAGAGCTTCACCTGATTTAGAGGAGACAGAAAGTGAACACACAAGTACATAAACATTTAATAAACAGTTCTAACTCTAGTGCATCTGAGGACAGATGTAAAGATATATGTTTGTCTTGTTTAAAATGAAAGAAAAAAGTTAAAACAGGTAAGAATCACAGCTGGATTAGACCAACGAGAAACATGACAAAGTGTATATTACATAACAATAAGGCTGACTTCTTCAAATGACCTTTTTGATATATTTATATTTTAAAATTCTAAGTAAAAGATTAAGATATTTCCATTTCAGTACACGTTACGTTCTATTACAGTGTTGTTCACAAAAATGTATAAAAAGTTTTTCTCCTCCCTGTTGATTTACCACCACATTAATGTTCTTACCTTCTATGTATTTCTGTGGACGGCTCATCATGCTGAGGCTTCAGCTGACTTCAAAGTTAGTCCAACTGTGTCTTATTATTTTAATCAATTCCTTCAATATTTACTGAAAATTCTGCATCAAGATTCACCTCTGCAACCCTCACCTCAGGCTTTTCAAAGAAAAATGAAGCACAACACCTGTCACAGCTCTCTGTTAAAAAAAAAACTTCCTGTCGACTTTAAAGTATGGGGGGAGGGTCTATCTACAGCGCAGATCATCTATTTCAAGACAAAACCAAAGAGATACTAGAGCAGAAAAAATATTACCGCCAGAGAAGCTTCTCAAACTGCAGTTAAAAAAACCCCCAAACCTGTTCAACACAAATGTTTGAAAACTCATTTCAAACATTTGCTTAGCTACATGCACGACAAATTCTATTATTAACACACCAATAATTGCCATCTTTTATGGAAAATGGGAAATGTTTCTATAAAAACAGAAAAAAAGACAAAACAAAGCTGTTGGTCAGTCCTAACTAACTCTCTACAATCAGTGTTGAGCACCTGTTGGCGCTTTTGCCTTCACTCTGCGGTCTATCTCATCCCAAATCATCTCAATTGGGTTTAGGTCAGGTGACTGTGGAGGCCAGACCATCGGGTGCAGCACTCCATCACCCTCCTTTTTGGTCAAATAGCCCTTACATAGCTTGGACGTGTGTTTGGGGTCATTGTCCTGTTGAAAAACTAAATGATGGCCCAACTAAATGCAAACCAGGTGGGATTGCATGTTGCTGCAGGATGGTGTGGTACCCATGCTGGTTCAGTGTGCCTTCAGTTTTGAATTAATACCCAAAAGTGTCACCAGCAATGTACCCCCACACCATCACACCATGCATGTAAAGACCATCCGTTCATCCTTTCTGCGCTGCACAAAGACTCAGTGGGTGGAACCAAAGATCTCAAATTCTTACTCAGACCAAAGGACAGATTCCACTGGTCTAATGTCCATTCCTTGTGTTTCTTAACCCATACAAATCTATTTTAGTTGTTGCTTTTCCTTAGTCATGGTTTCTTAGCAGCCTTTGACGGTAAAGGCCTGATTCATACCGTCTCCTCTAAACAGTTGAAGTAGAGATATGTCTGCTATTGGAACTCTGTGTGGCATTTATCTGGGCTCTAATCTAAGGTGCTGTTCAGAATCAGAATCAGAATACTTTATTGATCCCTGGGGGAAATTATTTGTGATTTATGAAGCTGGTGACTTGGACAAATTTATCCTCAGCAGCAGAGATGACTCTTGGTCTTTGTTTCCTGGGGCCGTCCTCGTGTGAGATGGTTTCATTGTAGCACTTGATGGTTTTTGTGACTGCACTTGGGGACACATTCAAAGTTTTAGCAATTTTCTGAACTAACTGACCTTCAGTTCATAAAGTAATGATGGACTGTTGTTTCTCTTTACATAGCTGCTTGGTTCTTGCCATAATATAAATTCTAACAGTTGTCAAATAGGGCTGTCAGCTGACTTCTGCACAACACAACTGATGGTCCCAACCCCATTAAGAAGACAAGAAATTGCACAAATGAACCCTGACAAGGCACACCTGTGAAGCAAAACCATTTCAGGTGACAACATCATGAAGCTCATTGAGAGAAGGGCAAGGGTTTGCAGCGCAGTCAACAAAGCAAAGGGTGTCTACATTCACAAATCTGAAATTTCCAGATTGGCGTCCAGGTACACACCGGCTCACTCCTTGGCGGCCGCTTATCGGGGCCTGGAGCCTGGGGCTCGCTCGGGCCACTTCGGGGGTGGGGTGCCCCCGGCCTCTCGGCCTGGGGCTCGGTCACTCAGGCACGGCTGGGGGCTGGCGGAGCTCACGGGCGCGTCACTGCAACTCCCCCTGGCTTCTGCTCCGCGGCTGCTGAGTGAGCCCTCATCTGGGACTCTCCTCAGCTCTTTCTGGGACAGTGGCGCGGCTGCCCCTCTGTTGGTCTTCCTTGGTCTCTTGTGTTCTGGGGGCCTCTGGATGTCTGGAGTTTTGATCTCCTCCATACCTGCTTCACGCCCTGGAGGACGGGGCTGTGGCCCCCCCACACCCTCTAGCAGATCATTACATGAAGGAACCTTTTAAAAAAAAAACAAGCGCGTCCATGCTCACAGGTGTACACACGGGGACTCACACACACAAACTACACCCTTTTTGGCTCCTACCTCAAAGCACACTGTGTTCTGTTGATCTTATGTGCTGCACAATAATGTTTAACATTTAGTATTTACTGTCATATTCCCATATATCATTGTGATGTTGTTTATTCTATTACTCTTGTTCTCTTCTGCTTGTTTTCTTTTTTCTTTCTCAGCAGGTGATCCAGGTGATTGATATATGCATTTTTTTTCTCTTTTTTTTTCTCTTTTTTTTCTTCTCATTCTGTTGGTTTTTGTTTTTTGCCCTTCTCCCTCTTCTCAGCTGTTTCTCTTTCCCTCTTTCTTTCTCCCCTTCTTTCCCCCAGTCAAGTCTGTCCCGTATTCAGTAAGTGAAAATAAAATAAACAATAAAAGGTGAATCAAATGGACCATTACGGCAAGGCTGGGATGGTCAATTTGGTAAAGTAAATCCGTTGGGCATCTTTCTTTGCCTTTAGACAACAATTCTGATGGCAAAAGAGCCAAACGGGACAGGCAAAAAAACCCAAAACCCCCCCCCCAAAAAAACCAAAAAAAAAAACCCTACTTATTCTGAGTAACACTGAAGTCTCTTTATGTAGTTTAATTTAATTTTCTTACAGGCAAAATTTTCAGATATTGACCTGCAGCACCATCTGCCTCATCAGTGTTTGTTTTGACTCCAGGCTCATTTGTCTTTAGATGTAGTACTTTTCTTTAATATAGATACACAAAACATATTTAGTTTCAAAAGACAGTTCAATAACACATTATCCAGGAAATTATTTATGTAAAAAAAAAAAAATTCCCTGGTAACTTTTAGCACATAATACATGAATAAGAAAATCAAGTGCAAAATAATGTGAATAATAATAATTCACATTTATTTCATTATAAACAGTGTCTATAATTTTTTTTTCTTTAAACATTTCTGAATGGAAGCTTTAAATGTTTGCAGCATTAGCTTTGGAAAAATTGTCTCAATGTGTCCTTTACTTCCACTGTTTTCTTTTTTTAATGCTGAACTGAATTTTAGACGCACACAGCCACAGCTGCTTTCTCACAAATACTTCTAAGAGTTAATTTGCAGGAATAATCAAACCAAAACATTATCCCATTGTGCCCCATCATCGCACAGTCCTCTCCATCAGGATCTTGCACGGGTATATTATTTGGCTCAGTAAAGAACCAAAATGTCAACCTATGGGATGAAGAACAGAATGGGCATTAACTGTAAAAGTTAAAGTTGAACTTTGATTTTGAAAATGGACAAATTCAGAATTTGTTATGTGTGTGTGTGTGTGTGTGTGTGTGTGTGTGTGTGTACTGAATCAAACCTTTCATTCAGTGGTGAGCCGTCCACCCACAGCCATCTGCCCTCTACTGCTGAGTCTGTCAGTCCGATCCAGAATTTTCCATTTTTTTTCTGCAATAATATCTAAACAGGAACATTTGATCAAATTATTTTATGAAACTTTCTGTTCCGGAATGATGAAACATGAGGGTGAGAACATGAACCTGCAGCAGTGTTTCATACCTGCTCCTCACTGCTGTCTATCTTAACCAGGTCTCCTCCTTTAGTGATACATTCAGTTCTGCTCTTATTCCAGGAGGATGACTTGGTGGAGAAATAATAGCACTTTCCTCCATGTTGCTCCCAGCCCTCTTCACATTTATAACATGAATCATCTTTGAAGAGATTACGTCAAACACTTCAGTCAGACGGAAGAAATCACTGTTCACGACTTACTCCACAGTTACAGTCTAACGTACTGTTTATATCAGTCCATCAATGTTTCTTTAATCAGAGGATAGCAAATATATCAAAGAAAATATATAAAACTTGCTCATAGTTATATCAGGAAGTTGTGGGGTTGTAGTCGGTATTGTGCTGTGTGATTGTTTTACTGTTATAGAGAAGAGATGAGAGATTTTTTTTTTAAATATTTGCAAAATTTTCAGCATGATCATCTACTTTTGATTTGACAGCAGCAGGATGCTCCTTTGATCCTGTTTCCTTAATCAGAGGATAAAAAACATGTCAAAGACAAAATATAAAACTTACTCGTGTTTATTTCAAGAAGTTGTGGGCTTGTAGTTTGTATTGGGCTGCACGATTGTGTTACTGTTATAAAAAAGAGATAAAAAAATTGATTTTCATCGATTTTTCAGGCAGGAGGATGGTCCTTGTGTCATGCAGCTGTATATTTGTTTATGCAATTGTTTTCTGCAGATACAAATGTGTTTAAAATTCATAACGTATTAATTTTTACTTCAGGCTCCGGGCATGTGGGCTGCACTGTACTACATGGTTTGATTTCAGGAGGTCTCTCTAAAAAACAAAAAAAAAATAAAAAAACAGGCTTAAAAACAATAATTATTCATCAGGATCAGTTATGAGAATCACCATAACTTAAATATTAAAATGTTGGGAAAAAAAATGCTAAGCAACATTTAATAATATTAATAATAACGTGTGTTATGTGATTAAATTCCAGAGGTCACAAACAAAAGTTTAGTACAAAATCACAGTGTAGTCTCATGTTCTTACCTGTGACATCAGCTTTTACAGTTTCCCGCTTCATCTCAAGGTTTCTGAGCATGTCCCTGGTTTTCAAAAGCTCCAACACTTATTAAAACAATAAAAATAAGAAAAGACAAAACTCAATCAGTAATATTTTCGGTTTCACTTTATCTCTTTATCTACACAGCCAATGAGACAGTTGTTGTTACCATAACCTCTTATTTCAGTTCACCTGTAGTGCTGATTTATTCACATTTGAGCAGGCTTTGGTAGCATGCAGGTAAAGAATATGTGCATATAACCAGAGACCAAAGTAACTTTTTTAATCTTAAAATCTTTGGCTACTCTAATATTTAATTTTTAATTGAATATAATTTTTTATATATATGCTAGCCTTAACATTTAATAAAGTTAATGTGTTAAAAATAAGAAGCTAGCTAGGTATTCTTCTTTCATCGATGGCTACAGGTGTGTTGCTTAAGATTCATGAAGAAGAATGTCTGAGTCACAGTTTAATTATGATTTTTAACTTAGCGTACAAATAAAAATAATAACATATTAATTATGACAAAAATCATGAGCTAAAAAGCATAGTTTCCCCACAGAGTAAAACACATTCAAAAGTGGTTGTGTTATCCATCCAATTTATGGTTTAGGTCAGCGGTCCCCAACCTTTTTTGCGCCGCGGACCGGTTTATGCCCGACAATATTTTCATGGACCGGCCTTTAAGGTGTCGTGGATAAATACAAGAAAAATAAAACTAGTACCGGTACTGAAAAAAAGAAGATTTATTCATAACACACGTGAAAAGACCAAGGAAAACCGAGTAAACGATAACAAAATAACGCTAAAAACCCTGAAAACTATACATTTCACACCTGAGCCTCAACTCTCGCGGCCCGGTACCAAATGACTCACGGACCGGTACCAGTCCGAGGCCCGGGGGTTGGGGACCGCTGGTTTAGGTCACAACTCAAAAGTTTTTCCTTCACAATTTTATAGTAAACATTCTGATTGTTAATAAATTTATGGTAAATTAGACACTTATTTAATTAAAGCTATGAAGAAAACTACAAACTCACAGAGATAAGTTACCACAAGAGCCGATACCAGGAGAACACAGACAACCAGCGCGGCCACTCTGAGCTTTAACGCATTGTTTGATTTTGCATGTTGAGAATCAAGAGCTTCACCTGATTTAGAGGAGACAGAAAGTGAACACACAAGTACATAAACATTTAATAAATAGTTCTAACTCTAGTGCATCTGAGGACAGATGCAAAGATATTACACTGCTTAATGTCATTTCAGTGTTTGTCTAGTACAAAAGTTTAAAATTGGTGAGAACAACAGCTGGATTAGACCAACGGGAAACATGAAACACTGCATATTACAGAACAACATGGTTTCCTTTGTTATTTTTTTCTTCATAAATGAGGTGTTAAGGAAGAAACGCTTTTATGAGTTTTATGTTGCATTAAAGTATATGTTCATATTTTACTCTTAATAGGAAAAGAACAAAATGTACTACTCGCTCTGTCTCTAGAAACAGGAAGCTCACCCTGTGACATTTACTTCAAGAGATTAACACACACACACACACACACACACACACACACACACACACACACACACACACACACACACACACACACATATGCAAAATTAAAGGAAACTGCTATGCTTGTTTCACCCTGCTATAAATAAAGACGATTGCTGTAGCTCGGTGTGAGTCCCTCTCTGAACCCTCACCCGTCCAGCACGTTAACAGTCTCCAAGTGTCTCAGTGTTGTTTATTCACCTAACTGTTTGATAACTGTATATCTCTGACATGAGGTTTTTCTTTTTCTTTCTTTTTTTTTTTTGTGTCCCGTTTGGATCTTTAGCCATCAGAATTGTTGTCTTAAGGCCAAGAAAGATGCCAAGCGGATTTATTTTACCAAGTGGATCATCATGGCCTTGCCATATTGGTCCATTTGATTGACCTTTATTATAATTATGAATTTATTTTATTTTCAGTTGCTACAAACGGGACAGACATGACTGGGGGATAGGACAGGGAGAAAGAATGAAAGAAAGATTGCTTGTGGTGTACCCCAAGGGTCAGTTTTGGGTCCAAAATTCTTCAACTTGTACATTAACGACATCTGTAAAGTGTCCAAAGTATTAAAAATGGTTCTCTTTGCTGACGATACAAACATTTTTTGCTCTGGTGATGATCTGCAGAATTTATTGGAGGATATGACTAATGAAATAAGTAAAGTGAAGTTCTGGCTTGATAAAAACAAATTATCATTAAATTTGAATAAATCTAAACTTATGTTATTTGGAAATAGTAGTTTAAATACAAATGCAAAGATTCAAATAAATGGTGTTGATATTGAAAGAGTCAGTGAAAATAAATTTCTGGGGGTAATAATAGATGAAAAACTTAACTGGAGAGCTCACGTAAGATATATTCATTCCAAAGTATCACGAAGCATTGCAGTACTAAACAAGGCAAAACAGGTATTCGACAGAACATCACTTCATATTCTCTACTGTTCACTGGTTTCACCATACTTAAGCTATTGTGCAGAGGTCTGGGGCAATAACTATAAAACCACATTACATTCACTTTTTACTCTTCAAAAGAAAGCAATTCGAATCATCCACAATGCAGGTTATAGGGAACATACAAACTCACTATTTTTGCAGTCTGAAATATTGAAAATTGACGATATAGTGAAATTCCAAACAGCACAAATTCTATTCAAAGCAAAAAATAAAGAACTGCCAGGTAATATTCAGAGTATGTTTTTTTTGAAAGAAGGAAGTTATAATTTAAGGGGTTTTTGTAACTTCAAAACAATGAAGGTACGTACTACAAGAAAAGGCTTTTGTGTTTCTGTTCAAGGAGTGAAACTATGGAACAAACTGAATATGGAATTAAAGCAATGTCCAAACATAAAACTGTTCAAAAAGAGTTATAAAAATATGATCTTCTCGATCTATAAAGAAAAGGAAAATATTTAAATTAAGTGAATGTCTCTATTTAAAAACAAACAAACAAAAAATTCATGATGTGATATTATAGTATATAGTATATCAGAAATCTGTTCACTATTTTTATTACAAATTATATCAGTAAGGAAGCTGACTAAATATTCACTGATAATTTATGGGACAGGGGTGGGATTAAATAAGTGTATACTTCTTCCCACTCCCTTTCAACATGTAAATTAATCAGAATGTTTTTTTGTATGTAATTTGTATAGTATATATATATTTTTTTCTCTCATTTCTTTTCTAAATGTACTTGTATATTGTTCACATGTTGAAATAAATTACCAATCAATCAATCAATCAATCAATCAAAGAGAGGGAGAGAAAGAAAACCAAAGGGGAGAAGAGACGGTGAGAAGGGGGGGAAGAAAGAAAACAAACAAACAAAAAAAACAAACACCTGGATCACCTGTATGGAGAAAAAAAAAACCCAGAAGAGAAAGCAAACAACAAAGAGCAACATAATAATAATAAAAAACGGCACCATCACAATTAACTAGCTAGCAGTAGATATCAGTAGATACTAAATAATAAACGATATTGTGCAGCACGCAAGATAGACAGACATGAGGTTTTTTCACATTTTCGTATGATAAAACCCAGAAAACAGGCTTAAGATATTTTACCCAAAAGAGTATTGTTTAATTTCACAACACGTTACGTTGTATGAAAACAACATTGTTCACAAAAAGTGTGTATTTTCTCCTCCCTGTTGATTTACCACCACATGCTGGTTTTTAAGGTTCTTAACGGTACTGCACCTCCTTACCTGGCAGAGCTTCTTAGCATTTACCGCCCCAGGAGATCTTTGAGGTCAGCAGACCTGATGCTTTTAGATGTTCCCAGGTACAGATTAAAGACTAGGGGAGAGAGGGCTTTTGCTGTGGCTGCACCCAGACTGTGGAACAGTTCCTCCTCACATCAGATTCTCCACAAGCCTAGGAACTTTTAAAACTGCTCTTAAAACTCACCTCTTCTCATTGGCTTTTAGCAAGGTTTAACTTACTGTATTAACTTATTGTTTTATCAGTGAGGTGTTTTATGTACTTGTGTTTAATTGTATTTTATATTTGTATTTTATTGTACAGCACTTTGGTCAGCCTTGGTTAAATAAACTTGACTTGACTTGACTTGACATTAATGTTCTTACCTTCTATGTATTTCTGTGGACGGCTCATCATGCTGAGGCTTCAAGCTCCTGACTTCAGAGTTAGTCCAACTGTGTCTGAATCACAATAAAAAAACAACAAACCAATTATTTTAATCAATTCCTTCAATATTTACTGAAAATTTAGCATCAAGATTCACCTCTACGACCCTCACCTCAGGCTTTTCAAAGAGAAGTGAAACACAACACCTTTCACAGCTCTGTTAAAAAAAACAACAACTTCCTGGTGACTTTAAAGGATGGGGAGGAGAGCCTATCTACAGCGCAGCTCATCTATTTCAAGACAAATTCAAAGAGATACTAGAGCAGAACAAATTATTTCAGCAACAAAGCTTTTCAAACATCAGTTAAAAAACCTGCTCAACACTAATGAGCTGTACGAAAACTAGTTTCAGTTCGTTAAGCTACAAGTATGACAAATATTATCATTAAAACATCAATATTTGTGTTTATTTACCTTAAACACAACAATAAAATATAACAAAGTGGAACAGAAGACCAGTTACTGTATATTTAAC